AACAGGATTTTATAGGCTTGTTTTAAACTATTTTGTATCGGACTGCAACTAATGATTGATTTCATTATGGATTCATCTGCTGATTATTTTCTCCATAATTGATTGATTTTTAAAAACAATTTCTAAAAATGCCGAGTGCGCTCCCAGAATGCAGGGTTACTTGTGGTTCTTAGAGTCTCCATAAGTAGAATGGGAGCCAGAGCCATTGCTATCAAGCTCTTCTCTTGTGGAACCAGGCCTAGACTGCTGGGATACTTCCCTTGATGCACTGAGCTCCTCTCTCCTCCTCCTTCTCTCCCTCTGCATGCAACCTCATCTCATTAATGCATGTTACTACCTCGACTTCTTCCCTTTCCCATAGTCTTGTGCTTTCTCGTCCCTCTCCTCTCTCCCCCTATCACTTCCTGCAGGTGTTTCTGGCTCTTGAGCTGGGGAGTCTGGATCTGTGGTTGTGAGTCACCTACTGTCCCCGTGTTCCTCGACACCCTCTGCTACAATTATCACTGTTATTATCATTAACATTACTCTAAATGTACTCTAAATTTACTGTCTGTATTGTTGGTTTTCTGCCAATAATATCACAGAGTACAGTCTAGACCTGCTCTTTTATGAAAAGCACTATCACATGACTGTTGTTGTGATTTGGCGTTATATAAATAAAATTGAAAATTGATTTGTAGTGAGTCCAAATTCACACTTTCATAATGCTTGTTTTGTTCAACCAGCAGCCCAACACACAATATTATTAACAATACAATAATATTATTAAAATAGTAAAGCAGCAAATTTTCACATTTGTGAAGCTGGAACCATGAAAAGTTTTTGCATGAAAAACGACTTTAATGATTGCTATCAGAAGTAAAAAGTACAATTATTCCCACTAAAATGTAGTGGAGTAGAAGTAGAAAGTGACATGAAAAGAAAATACTCAAGTGAAATACCTCAAATTTGTACTTAAGTACAGTACTTGAGTAAATGTACTTTCAACAGTTACTGTCCACCACTGGTTGACTAAGCTAGTGACTTTTTATCAGTTTAAAATTAAACTCTAAGCTCACAGTTTGGTCTGTTCTTTCCCCTTGTCTATTTTATAAGCTAACACTGAACATCATGACAGTTTCACTGCAGTCTGCCCACTCTGAGGAAACTGGATGTGTGAAGAAAAACACCAAACTGAGACAGAACAGAGACACACATCTGGAAGAGGAAATGTAACAATCAAACAGACAATTTTTGCCAAATTTAAATATCTTGTTTGTTTTTCTTCTTAAGGTGAATAACTGAAATAACAGACAACAGGTGCAGTTTGCCAAAAAATGCCACGAGCTTGAGGTTTCAAATTCATTGGATATAAAATCCTTGCAGCTGGTCACTTTTCATGCCTTTAGAAAATTACTTTTTTTTTTTTATTTGTTGCCAATTATCATGTTAACATCCTGTAGCATCATGGTTTCTAACCGGTAAAGTCACTGTAGCAGAAATTCATCTCCACTGCCTCCACACAGCAGAAGGCCTAAGATGATGTAGTTCGCATTTGCTAGTTTCCAATGAATATTACATTTTAAAATATGAAAACTATACTTTATATCTATGGTTTCATTGCTTTTTGTTCTTGGGTTGTAGTACAAGGATCAGCTGCTCTGAGACCTTGTATTTGTTCAAGCTTAAGCAAACTTTTATTTTGAAATATGTTGTTGCAAGAATACTGCAAATTAATCTGTGTTGCATGACCTGTGTGACTTCACAGTATTTATGGAAACAATTGAGAGAGTACAAGCAGTGATTAAAGCCAGCTGTGGCTAGCTAACTAAGGTTATGGTCATTTAGGAAAGTGGTCAGTGTTTCATTCATGGTCAGGACTTCTAAACTGAGACACTAGTCGCAGTACAGTCAGTTAAATATTAGCTCACCTCACATGTAGCAGTGTTTAAGTGGCTAAACATGTAGCCACTTAATCACATGTGGGGCAGACATGAGGGCTTTGATACCATAAGATGTCTCACAATCTCATAGAGTTATAAGATCACACAGGTAGTCTTGACCTTCCTCACACTGTGTTGCATCATGGCGATGGAGGCTGTGTTGACCTTATAGTGATGTGATGTAGCAGTGAAGCGATTCAACAGTTGAGAGAGGCATGAAATCTTCAACTTGGTCTCCACTGAGAAGTTGCTCGTTGTCTTGTTTTTACGTTCTTTGTTGAATTCAGAAACCCAGACTTGAGATAAAGAAAAATGTTAAATAATGGAATAAATAAAAAAAAGGTTATTGTGACAAAGTGGGTTTGCTCACCACTTGTCCCATACAGGTCATTATCTACATTACACCTTATAGTTTATACGTGTTTATTTTTTGTAATCTACCATGGCTTGTGTAAAAGTGCACCACTTACTGTCCCGGGTTATTTGTGTTTGCATTATGTTACAGTCTACAACCAAGCATATGATAAGTTAAAATGAACACACTGTCACAAGTTAGTTTCAGTTCCATTTTATTAGGTTGCAAGTTTAAACCTGGTTTAATTGTTTTCCTGTGTTCATACTTACAATTGTTTGTTTCTTTGTTCAGTTCCACCATGCAGGACAATTATTTTAGGGAGGGGCCCGCCTAAGCATTTCCTGTTTATAGGAATAGGGTGGTCATGGATGACAACACTGGGCCAAACCATGTACAGGGTTTTACTTTCTTTATAGGAATGTGTTTTTGCTTTTGGTTGTTTTGGTTATTCTAAATAAATGTGTAAAGACCCTGACCTGTTTTCTAGGCTGTGGGAAGTGAACGAGGGTTACGATATGGTAACCCTAGTTCTATTAGCACAGGCGGAGCCCTCTACTGGACTCTACTATCTCTCCTCCTATCACATGCACGTACTCGCCCACTGAAATTTTGGCATAATGTAAGTAGCCGACCAATTGGACGTTGCTACTGTATGTGCGTATCGTATAAATATCGGTGTCCTCACCGCTCAGCATCCAACCACCCCTTCAGCAGACGTCGGTGGAGCGGCAGGGTTCCATCGTAGAGGGCTCCACCAGCCTGGTGTATTCGTACGCCAACCCCTTGGAAGGCAAAACACAGAAACATCCTGTGTTTCCGGGCCACCTCGACATGAAAGTAGGCGTCTTTCAGGTCGATGCTCATCAAACAATCGGCTGCACTAGCATTATAAGTTTCCTGAGTGTCAGCATGCGGAAAGGTTTCCATGCAATATGCAGATTCAGGTAACGGAAATCCAGGATGGGTCTGAAGCCTCCAGTCTTCTTGGGGACCAGGAAGTTCGTGGAGTAAAGACCCTTGTACATGTCGTGCGTTGGAACGACAGAAATAGCCTGTTTCAGCAGGAGCTGTTGAATCTCTGTGGCCAGGAAGTCCACCTCCTCCTGAGAGGACAGGTTGGCTTCCTTGATGCCCTAGAAAGACGGTGGGATATGGCAAAATTGTAAGGAGTAACCCCGCCTCAGTATGCCGTCCATCCAGTCTCTTGGCTTGCAGCAGCGTCTGTGTGTGTGTGTGTGTGTGTTGTTCCACTCTCACGCCTGCTCAGCTCGTTTTTGGGACTGGTTACAGTGCGTAACTCTCGTTTCAATTCCCTCACAGCAGCAGGTGTAAGGAATGTGAGTGATGTGTTCAGCCATCCTGTTATCTGACTTTATGCGGATATGAATAATGAATTAGACGCTCGCCTTCGATACTGAAGGTTTCTTGTTCGAGACCAGATGGGAACAAAGACCAATATTTTGGTCTCTTATCATGCGTTGTGTGATTGGGGGGCTGTAGGCTGGTGTGTTAATGCTTATGACCGCTGGTGGTCCAGTGGGCATTGACTATATCTGGCTTCGCCCTTATCCCAATAGCAACAGCTGTTAAGGCCCATTTATACTCCTGGATAGGGTTTATGTGCGTACCTACGCCGTAGGCTATGCACGTAGCCATATATTTATACTTGTGCGTAGTTGTGTCCGTCATTCTGCAATTACACCCCCAAACGCTCGTCGGCAGTTACGCTACAGCATCCACTGCGTTGACTTTTGCCGGCCAAGCAGGCTAACTTCCGGTTTAGCGCTCCGCTAACGTAAATGGGGGTAAAATTGTAAACGTGCGGCTGGTATAGCCTTTTCAAATGTTACCGACCAAAAGGATCACATTCTGATAGCGAAACGAGTCATTCTGCTCGGGTTGCGACGGTCAAATATATTGATTTACTGTGTTACAGCCGCCGTTTTGGCCGCTAGTAAATGTTACTTTAAAGCACAGGGTACTTCCGGTCGGCTCGGAGGCATTGCGAGGCTACCCAGCTGACCAATCACAGAGCTTACGGTCCACGTCGACTCGACATGTAGTTACATTTTTGAAGAGGTGCACATCAGGCGACAGCGTAACCTCTGCGTAGCCCTGTAGCCTACCCAATAGAGACAGCTCTTAGAGAGCTACGCCTATACTCTGTATATATAATCTGGGGTTACAATATGTAACCAACGTTCTATTTCCTATAGGTTTCGCCCTCTAAAGTGCAATTTATACTTCTGCGTCAAATCGACGGCGTAGGTGACGGCGTAGGTAGTAAGCTCATGGAGAAGATCAATCTGCATCAGAATGGGATGGGCTGAGGTAGTTTGGGTGTGAATTGAACACCCTACATAAACACTGGGATTTGTGCTCCCAAGGGGGCAAAAGAGATGGGCTGTGCTGCCATCAATATGTGAGTTTTTGTTGCTATAAGTTTGAGGAGTTATTTTACTGAAGTCTTTTTGTTTGAGTTATCCGTGTACTGCAGACCACTGTAAATAAAATGACCGCCTCTGGGAACATAAGATGTTTGAGTCTGCCACCTACCACCTTCCTAGCCACTCTGGCCAGGTAACAACTATCACAATTGTAAAAAACTATAGTAAAGCTATATAAATAAATGAGGTGTATTATTTATGTTTACTTTATAAGTTATTATACACTGTATGCTGTGATTCTGATCTGGGAAATATTAAAGACATTCATAGCCAGTCTGCTGATTTTGTCTATTTATTGAATCAGTTAACACAAAGAAGTAATGTGTACATGTTGACAACACCACATATTTAATGAACGATCCTTTATAAACGGTAAAAAGTTGGCACCAGATTCTTAATTGCGAAATAAACAAAGATTTGTTCTGACTTAAGAAAATCACATATTATACTCAATTAGATAGGAATAAAAATGTGTCGCTCATGTGTAGCCTACATGTTTACATTCAGATTGAATGATCTTATAATACATTTCAGTCAATATTTTGCATCAGATACTTCACAGAAATAAAAACAGATTGTGAATTCCAAGCAAACAATCGCCTATCCTATTAAAATTAAATGTGTAAAAATATGTGACATCAGATACTTCACAAAAACAATCAATAAAAGATTACATATCAGATCATGTTTGATAAAAGAAAAAAAGTCACTTTGCTGCTTTGATTAAGATTATACATATATAATATTAATATTATATATACATATTCTCAGTGGCAATATGATGACTTCATCTGTCACACAAAATTATATATGATATTTTTATTAAACATGTTAAAGTGATCTCAGGTTAAGGGGAGGACTAATTGGAGTGATTTTCTAATATTTTCTATTTTGTAAGCCGCAGTTAATAATAATATCTTCAACCATGTCATCTTATACATGGCATGTTCCTACTTGTGATTTTCTTCATTATATAAAGCATGTGAGATCAAAATATCCATGAGAGGATGAATGTAATGAGGAACATGTGCACCTCTGTAACCACAAAGCATGTCTTCTCTCACTTGATGTTAAACGACTCTTTGAGGCTCGCTTCTGCTTGTTTATGTGTGATTGTTTTCCAAGTTTCAGGAATATCAGCAGGCTCTGCATTATATGCTTTAGCAAACTCCTTGTTGAACTTTGCCAGTACATATTTCCAGTAGTCTGACGCCTCTAAGCTTACATCTGACTGGATTATCCAGTCAGGGAAAATTTCTCTGTAGTTCTTGTAAGGGTGCCATTCACCTTTTGTAGCATCACAGCGAAAACGTGCCTCACTGTTCACCAAGGACGAGCATATGTCAGTGACAAGTTTTTCTGTCCCATCCCACCTGAATCTACCCAGACCCTCTGGCCGATGTAGTTTAGCAAAGTGCTCTCCATGTTTACTTGCTCCTGCGTCACAAGGAGCTTTGCAGAATGGACACTGTTGCCCACATCCAATCACCTGGGTGAAAAGCTCGTTCTGGGGCTTCACATGAAGATTTTTCAGTTTCATTTGGATTTTTTCTGTTTTAAACTTCTCTCTAAGAGCCTGTGCCATGTCCTTCACACACTCAGTGAGCCAGTGAGCAAACTGTTCCTGGTCTGCATTGTTCAGGATCATGAAAGCACCAAGAGCATCCTGGGAAATGACCAGTTTATCACCAAGTTCTTGGCAGACATCTTCAACAAATGTCTTCACTTTACCACTCTTTTTTGTTTTAGCTTTGTTGATAGCATCGTTTATGCTGCTGATACTTGACAGAACATGTCGATCCTCAAACTCAAAAACTCTATCACCCTTTGAAAAGTGTTCCTCTATTTGTTTGAGTGTCCATTTCTTTACATAAACCTCATATGAGCAAATGTAGCTCTTATAGTTTTCAAAGTCATCCTTTGAGAGCAAATCCAGTAAAACTGAATACTGGAAGAACATTCGTGTGCTGAACTGGAACCTTGTCAGCATTTCACCAATAATATCAGGACCCAATGAACGGTTGACAAAGTCTTTGACTGCAGGCCTCAAGCAGCGGCTTGTGAATTCTTCTGCCTTCTTCTGGCACTGGTCTCGTTCATGAAACACATCTTTGAAATCAGCACGAAACTTTTCTTTGTTTTGATTCAGACATCTGTAAGGATCATTAGCACGTATGAAATCTTCATGCATTTTCTGAAACTGTCTGGCTGCAACTCCACAGATGTGCTGTTTCAGAGAAACTTCAAACTCAGTGTCTATCTTAACATTCTGACTGTTCTGCAGCCGCTCATCAATCATGTGTAGGATCTCCTGGATGTAAGTGTCATGGTAATTGTTTTTCATTTCCATTTTTTCTGTCACAAACTGTGTGCAAGCATCTATGATGCTGTCAGCCATGTTCTGTGAAGCCATTACATGATCTTTAATGAAGAGCTTGCTGAGTTTGTTTTTAAAATGGTTCCAATTTCCTTCCACTGTATATTTGAAAGGAATCAGTCCACAATCTTGCAGCCTTTTTTGACTTAATAATTCACATGCATGACTCCCCTTACGTGATAGATTTTCTCTCAGGTAGAAGGAGACATTTGTGAAGACATTTGTGGCCGTCTGTTTAGAAAAAGACAGTTCCTTTACTGTTTTATTCCACATCTTATTAAATTCTTTGTCTAGCTCTTTGTCTGTCATCTGGACTTTCCTTCCCCGACATTCCTCAATCAGCTGACGCACTCTCCCCTCTAATTCTTTTGTGTGGTTCTCCTTGATTCTGTCAAGTTCTGTCATTCCCTGTCTGATGTCAGCTGCTGCTGTGAGCTGATTAAGTACAGAGCTCTCCATTTCTCGACGAAGGCTCTTTGCACTGCTTGCAAATTCCTCTTTGTATCCTTCAACTAGATACACATGACCCTCTGTTTGCTCAAAGTACTGTTTTAAATTTCCAAGAATTTTTGTCTCCCATTTAGTCAGCTCTGTGCAAGCTTCACTTTTCAAAAGAGTGAGAAGTTCTTTCATGTCAGATAACTCAGATTTCACAGCAACTGTGCCGAAATTAGAAATTCTTGTTTCAGCTTTTGTAACCCATGTGTACATTTCTTTTTTGAATTCCCATTCCCATTTGTTGAACTCTGTGCACAGCCTCATGTATGCATCAGCCACTAGGCTGTTTCTGAAGCTGAAGATGAAGTTTTCATGCTTTACTGCATTCCACAGGCTTTTCATCCACTCGGTAAACTCCATGATATTATTAGCAGATGACTCACACCTTCCCAAAATTTGGATGATGTTCTTCTTGAGCTCATAAACGGCCTCACTGTACCCTGCATTGACTGGTGCCATTGGTGGGTTTCCATTCCAGAGTCCAGGAATGTACCAGTTCCCAGTGTCGGGACTGTACTCCATCACATCAGTGAAGCTCTTGTTCTCCTCTTTCTTTTCCATCTTGGCTGCTGCCTGGGTCATCTCGTTTAGCTGCTGCAAGAGCAGTTTCCTGTCTCGTAAGTTGTTCTCATGGGCTGAAACATCTGACACATTCTGGTGAACAAACTGACATTTGGGCTTTTTGCCCACCTCTTTCATCCTGAGAAAAGCATGCACAACTATTTGTAGGATGTCCTTCATTTCTGTTGAATTCTCCATTGCAATATTGATGATGGTGATATCACTCAGCCCCACAACAAGTGTTGCAAGCTCGTTGTCGTGCTCATGGCTATTGTCCAGTTGAGCAAGCTCTGGTGACTTTAAGCCCTCAGTGTCAATGATCACCATGAAGTCACAGTTGAGTTCTTTTTTGACATCTTCATTGATTCTGATCAGCAACATAAACGCACCTCGAGTGCATCGACCACTGCTGACTGCAAACTGCACTCCAAACATGGTGTTGAGGAGAGTGGACTTTCCTGTGCTCTGAACTCCAAGAACTGTGACTACCAGTATCTTGCTCTTAGGAGACACCAAGTCATTGAGCTGAGAGAGAACGTCACTCACCCATCTGAGAGGTATGTTGGATGCATCTCCATCTACAAGCTCAAGGGGAAATCCATCAAGCAACAATTCAGCGCATAGTTTGGGCAGATGCTGTAATTGTTGATGTGACACGTGTCTCTTTGGAAGGGAAACTGAAGCTTCATAGATCTGACCCATTTCACGGAAGAAGTGTTCAGTCCCCAGTGAGCTGTTGGAAAGTTGTCTGTCAATTTCTTTGATCTCCTCTTTGTTTTCAGAATTTTCACATTTCTTTTTGTACAGCTCCCTGAGGCCAGACAGTTTTTCCCGAGACAGGTTATCGAGGTTCATTCGCATCCATTTCAGGAAATATCTCCTCTCTATCCCTGGGCTTGATATTGCGTTGATGAAACATGTCATAGCGTTTGACATGTCACAAGAGTTCTGTTGTACCCGAAGTTTTCTTTTCTGTACCTGAAGATTACTTTTGTACTTTTCTATGTTTTCAGACCCAACTTTTCGAAGGCGAAATTCTTCCTTCTCTAAGAGAGTCAGTTCCTTCCATATTTGGCCCTGCAAGGGAAGCTGAGCTTCTTTGTATTTAAGGGTGTCTTGAATTTCTGCAGTGATGGCATCTGCATTTTTCTTGGCAGTTGGCACTCTGCACAGTCCTCATCCACCAAGATACCCAATTCATGAGCAATGTCAGCCATCTGCTCAATCCCCATCTTCATCTTTGTGTTCTCAACTACATTGCTGACTGTTTTCCGCAGATGTTTGATGAAGTCTGCATCATTCATGTGCTTAGCCTTCAGAAGGATGTTGCTGTTAGTCAAACCCAACTTGGTTGCTACCTCAGTTAGTTCATCTTTACTGAAGCTCTGGCTTTGATGGTTGCCCACTAAGAAGATCTGTGCCTTGTGGTGTTGGTTGATAAGCAGCTCGCACTCAGAGTCCAAATTGTCAAAGAACACAAACACTGCTGCAGATGTCTGACACAAAAAAGAAAATTGTGTTTCAAATGAAGCAATGTCCCCACGAAGGTTAGCTACAGCTACAGGCTCACTGAAAATATCCATGTTTTTGTTTCCACAAGGAAGGTACCAAGTAACTTCAGCCAATCCATTGGATATTCTCCTTGAACTGTCACCACATTCCATGTTATGGTGAATAAAGGTGTCATGGTACTGCTGAGAATTGCTCAGAAGCTTATTAAGGGTCTCAGACTTAGACAATGAGCACTCACCCAGTCTCACAAAAGATATCATTGGAAGTTCAGAGACAACAATCCTGTCTTCAATAAAACCCTTGGACTCTGAAAGTGACTGAGGTCTGTACTTTTTAACAATGTCTCTCATGGCCCAAAGCATGAGTGTGCACTGCTTTGTGTCACAATTAGGAAGCAGCAGAGGCACAGAAAACTGACACATAGACATTTTGAGTGCCATTTCCTGTCGTACAAAACCGTCAGAACACAGAAAGAGAGCAGTGATTATGTCAAGGGGGTTTATCACGTCACCGGAATGTAGACTATCAAACAGACCATCAAGATCTAACTCTGTATTTCCTGAAGCAGCATCACAGTTTGATTCACATACTGACGTACATTTCACATTTCTAGATGTCACATTAACCATCATCAGTTTCTTTAGAAAGTACCATGGAAGATCTGAATTACACTTGGCAGGTTCATCAGTAATGGTCCTCTCTTCAATCTGAAGTACTGTGCCCAGGGACAGCTTCTCTGCGAAGTGGTGCTCCAACCCCAGATCCTTCAATAAGCTCTCCAGTTGTGTCTCTGTGGATATGAACATTTTTATTATTTCAAACCAATCATAGGTGTTTTAATAAAACATGGATCCAAAGTTAAGTGACACATTAGAAAAGTCTGAGTTTGTGTTTGTTGTTTGTTTTTCATCTTGTGTTGACAATATAGTACTGTGTTCACAAGATATTACGTAATGGCTGCACAGTAACGCACTGCTACAAAATTAATTTATATATATATACTGTATATATAAACGTAAGATACCAAGTAATAACCCCCAAACAAATTAATTAGACTTTCAGACCAATAAAAAGTTCAATTGAATTACTATTGTCAAAACAATTTTCATGGCAAGTTGTCTTGATAAAGTTATACTACTCAGTCAGTTATTGTAAGATATTGTAAGACAAAACATTTTACATTTACATTACATTTACTCATTTGGCAGACATTTTATCCAAAGCGACTTATATCTGAGGAACAACATACAAGCATCAACTAAGCATCAATACAGCAAGAGATGTACAACTGACAGTGAATACTAGTAAGAACTAATAGCATGTATGGCATCAATGGAGTAAATACCTATGGAAGGAAGTAGAAGTTAACAAAATAGTGCAATTGTAAAGGAATAGAAGAAGAAGAGCACAGGAAGTGCATGTTAGAGGTTAGTGCTATGAGGTGTTATAAGAGAAAGTGTTCTCAGAAGAGATGAGTTTTCAAGAGCTTCTTGAAGTTAGAGAGGGACACCCCTGCTCTGATGGCATGTGGTAGCCATTATGGTGTTACAGATGAGAACAGCCAGGCCCGAGATTGCTTTGTGTGTGAGAGCCAGTGGACGTTCTTTGGAGGAGCATAGTGGCCGAGAAGGGACGTAAGCTTGTATTATGGAGTTTAGGTAGATACAGCATCTCACAAAAGTGAGTACACCCCTCACATTTTTGTAAATATTTGATTATATCTCGTCCTGACCTCCTTTCACTCCTTTACTCAGCGACCTCCATTGGCTACCCGTAGCCTCCCAAATCAAAGTCAAGTCACTAATGCTTGCATACAGAGTGACTAATGGGTCTGCACCTGCAGTATCTCACAACAGTGAGTACACCCCTCACATGTTTGTAAATATTTGATTCTATCTTTTTCAAGTGACAACAATGAAGAAATGACATTTTGCTACCATGTAGTGAGTGTACAGCTTGTATAAAAGTGTAAATTTGCTGTCCCCTCAAAATAGCACATCACAAAGCCATTAATGTCTAAACCGCTGGCAACAAAAGTGAATAACCCCTAAGTGAAAATGTCCAAATTGGACAAGTGGAAGTGTCAATATTTTGTGTGGCCACCATTACTTTCCAGCACTGCCTTAACCCTCTTGGGCATGGAGTTCACCAGAGCTTCACAGGTTGCCACTGGACTCCTCTTCCACTCCTCCATGACGACATCACGGAGCTGGTGGATGTTCTATCTCACACAGGCTCCGCCCTCTACTGGACTCTATGGGTACTACCTCTCCTCCTATCACACGCACGTACTCGCCCACTGAAATTTTGAATACTGTAAGTAGCCGACCAATTGGACGTCGCTACTGTACGTGCGTACCGTATAAATAGCGGTGTCCTCACTGCTTAGCATCCTTTTTTCTTCAGACAGACACTGACTTCACCTCCACGGATGGAGTCGCCGCTCCTTGAAGCTCGCCTTTGCCCGTCGTGCCCCGGTCTGATCGCCGGGGTAGACACTCATCGCTTCTGCTTTGAATGCCTCGGCAGGGACCACGGCAGAGATGGCATCCGCCAACCGCTGCTGTGTGTTGACTGCCGAGCCATTCCTCTCATCCGGCGACAGCATTTCCGGCAGTGTGAGCTCTGCCTCATCTGCGAGGAGAGTGAGGAAGACGCCGGCCCGGATCCCCTCCCTGCTGAGGAGGATGCTCCGGCCCCCGATCTGGCTTCACGCTCCCTGCCGTCCCTTTCCGCCGCCGCTGATCGACAATGATGCTGACAGCCTGTCATCTGCGTCAGCCACTTCTACCGCGGCCATCTCGGCCGTGTCTAAAGAGCAAATTAATTCCTCTTCAGTCTTCCCCGCGGTTATGGCTATAGCGGCAGGGCGCGTCGGGCTAGCACTGCCCCCCCCATCCCACCTAAGCCGGTAGGGAGACAAAGGCAGGCTGAGCGCGGCGAGTCGGCCCATAGAACCCCTCCCGGAGCCGACTCGCCGCGCTCAGCCTGCCTTCGTCTCCCCGGCTCTCCCAGATATCTGGCAGTGCTCCGAGTCCCCGATCAGCTCAGTCGCCACCTGCCGCTGGCTCACGGCAAGGGCAGCGAGCCTCGGCGTCGTAATGCCACCCTCAGACGTCGTGCTCGCCGCCAAACCAGATCGCCGCTGTCTTCCTCACCGGCTACTCAGGGCGGATCCACGGATGCACCTCGCCCTCCCCGAGACACCGGGCCGCCCAGGGATCCCACACAGGCGAGGGGATCTACATCGCGGCCAGAGGAGCAACCTAGACCCCCCCTGCCAGCCTACCTGTGGCTGGGGGAAGAAGCGGCCGCTGAAATGACTGGCTGAGGAGGGAGAGCAGCCGGCCGATGTGGCCGAGCCCCTCCCCTCCGTCTCATGTCCAAGCCACTATGTTTATAAGTTGTGTGCTGCTTGTGACAAGGGTGTAAATGTACCAAATGTTTTGATTAAAACAACCTACATTCCTCAAAGAGCTAATTCCTCCCCACCAACCCCTTCCCAGCAAAGTGTTGTGCTGAACACGCCACTTAACCGACGCTAAGCTAACGGCTTGCCCCGTGGCCCACACCGCTCTCCCGACTAAGGCTGAACTGGTGGTGCGGCCCGGGCATCCACAGTGCTTGCTACGCCACCTGAGCTGCGACACACTCCGCTTCCGCGGCATGACGGCTGAGAAACGAGCCGCTCTTGCCATATAAGCGGCACAATGCAGCTATCTGATCCTAGCTTGTATTCCCAGCGAGCCTACGTGAACCCGCTCGGGCGCGCTGCTAGCTCACTGGCAGTGTTTTCGTGCCACACAGACATACACGCTAAGCTGCCGAAAACTGCTCCAACGAGAGGTCGCAGCACATCACGGAGTATCCGTGGTAGCAGCAGCCTAGCCCGCTATTGCCGGAGAGATGCTGTCACTAGCCACGTCTCTCCCGTCATAGCAAAGCAGAGAAGATTGCTCGTTGCCTCTGCGAGCGGCTCGCTGCGCCGTTTGGCCGCAGAGGGGACACTATCTCTCCCACAGTGGCCAACAGCTGTGGAGAGGAGAGCTCCCCGGCTCGTCACTGCTCCTCTCGACAGTTCTGCTGATAGTGAACGTGTCACCGTAGATGCTACGACAACACTGTCGCAGGCAATGACGTCAACGGAGCGACCGGCCGTGGTGCGTTCAAGGTCACCACGGCCACCTGTTTGCCAGACGGCACAACACCCACTGTCCACTGTGGTTCTCGATCCTACCACAGGACAGCCCGCCCTTGGGCGTGGACGCGTTTGTACACACGCCATGGCCAAAAGGGCTGCTGTATGCTTTCCCCCCACTCCATCTCATCCCCCCCTGCTGGAGAGGGTGAGACAGGAAGGGTTGTCAGTCATCCTGGTAGCCCCCAGCCACAGATCAGCGGGGTGGTACGCAGAGGTGAAGCAGCTGGCAGTGACGGAGCCCTGGCCTGTGTCTCAGGTCTTGGGGCTTTGTCACAGGAGTCATGCGCCATAGGCACACTGCCGGTGCTCGGCCAACCTCTCCAGGTTTGGCTCCTGAAAGGGAGAGGTTGAGACAGGCTGGGCTGTCCGCAGAGGTGGCGAGGGCAGGCTCCACCACTTACTGCTACAAAGCTAAGTGGCTGGGCTTTCAGCGCTGGTGCATTGAGAAGGAAATGGATCCTATAACCTGCTCAGTGGGATCCATCCTTTCCTTCTTACAGGGCCTAATGGAGAAGGGACTGTCACACTCAACCATTAAGGTGTATGCGGCAGCTATCTCATCTTGTCATGAAGGGATTGGCGACAGACCTGTCTTCACCCACCCCCTCGTGAAGCGTTTTCTGCAGGGTGTGAGGAGACAACGACCGGTGCTACGTGTCTCTGCACCCCAGTGGGACCTGCCACTGGTACTAGAGGCTCTGAGGTCAAACCCCTATGAGCCCCTGGAACAGTCCTCCTTGAAGATTCTACCTCTCAAGACAGCCTTGTTACTGGCTCTCACCTCTGCCAAGAGGCTGAGTGAGCTGTGCACCCTGTCGGCTCATCCCAGCTGCATGCTGCTTCGTGGTGACCACAGTGCAGCAGTGTTAAGACCGAACCCCTCCTTTGTTCCTAAGAAGCTCGTTCAGGTCGAAGACCATACATTTGGATGCCTTCCACCCTCCGCCCCACCCTGGGCCTAGGGAGGCGAGGCTGCATCTGTTGTGTCCTGTGCGCGCCCTAACACATTATATGAAGTGCACGGCCCCCATTCAACGCACTGATCAACTGCTTGTTTGCTTTGGTTACGGTGTGATCGGTAAAGCTCTATCCAAGAAGCGCCTAGCCGGATGGCTTTGTGACTGGCCTACATGCAGGCGGGGAAAGACCCACCCTCGGTGGTCCGGGCTCACTCCACACGAGGTGTGGCTGTGTCAACGACCCTCTTCAACTGGGTGAGCGTCGAGGAGATTTGCACAATGGCATCGTGGTCTTCACCATGTCCATTTGTGCGTTTTTACCTCTTGGATGTGTCGGGCTCCTTCTCAGGATCTGTGCTCGCAGGTGCGACTCAGGATCTGTGAGGAAGGAGACTGGTGCCTACCATAGACTACCGGTTGTCAGGGAAAACATTTTTACACTGACTGTGATGTTCCCTGGAAGGGGTCTGAACAGTCCAGGTGTTGGATCTGGCTGGATAAGATCCATCTGGTCATGCCAAACCCCTAGCGGTCTAGTGACCTTTCTGAGGGGTGGCCCACTGCCCCATCGCTTAGGATGGAGGCAGCTTAGGGCCTGTGGCTGGTGACCTGGGGCCGATCGTGTCAGTG